ACTGGTTTACATGAAAGTTATAGCGTTTACAAATGGCAGTATATATACAGAAAGTTTTTTATTTATTTTTTTACTAGTAATGGCGGCGATCAGCAACTCTGGGCATTCTGACACTGGGGGGGACTGACTTGGTGTCACTGACATCCCCAGTGACACCAGTACAGCGATTGGTGCTAATAAAAAGTACTGTGTATCACTGTAAGCACACTGCTTTGTATGGCTCTGCTTTGCAGAGCCATACAAAGCATAATGCGGTAGCTGACAGGGGAGAGATCTGTGTTGTTTATACACAGGTCTCTCCCCCGTCAGAGATACTTGGCGATCACCATGGTCGGGACCCGTTGATTGACAGCCAAGTCCGTGAATGGCAGCGCAGGTAGGGCACGTGGGCGCCCCCTACCTGTGACTGCAGAATCACGTAAATATACGTGATTTTGCGCATCTGTGCTGCCCTGTAGCAGTATCTCTGGCGCGGAAGCAGTTAAACTGCCGGTGATACTAAAATGTTACTGCGCGTGTTCAAGATTAAATGCATGATCGCATGCACTTCACCTTGCATGCAACGTATGACACTACAGGCATCTGTTGGGTGTGTTTTTTTTTTTGTCTCCAACAGTTGCCTTTAATATCTCATGGCGAATGTACGAGATGAAGCTCCTGACACCATGTGCTTCCTTTTTGCGCATGCACACTATGATAGTAGGTACAGTACTGAATTTCCTTGAATAGAATGGTGATGTTGCCTTCCCAGGGAGCATCGGAATGGCTGGGGTCTGTCACCACTGCAGTCAGTAAAACCAGGAACTTGAAGAGAAAAAACGTTAAGTAGAGCAAGATGACATTTAATAAAGTGTTAGGCAGATATATATGCTGATGTGAGATATAAGTAAATGGGGGAAGTTTTAAGAAATAATCAAGAAGTGTATGCTTAACTGCAAGCTAGATAAAAGAAGTAAAAAATATTGTGCCAAAAAAAAACTTAGTGGGGTTCAGTAGCGCAAAATATCATATAGTAAATAAAAAAACGATAAAAACGAAATGTCCAAATGTGATTTTTCATGTGAAAAAGGCCTAAATAAAGTCCCAGAAAAAAATCTTCAAATTCTCCAAACAAATTCACCACGTGTACAAAAGTAATAAATAAATGTCCCCCCTTTCGGGTGTACACTCACCAAATAAATTTGCCTCCCCCACTTTCATGGTTGGCCAAATTGCTTTAAATAAAACAATCACCATCTCACACACACCAAGATGTCACTCTCTTCAGGATGCACAAGTATCATTTCAAGTCTTGGTTGGTAATGGATATACAGGCAGAGAAAATGGTCTCAAACTCCCTTCTTCCTTCTCTGGAATCACCTCCCAAATGGTCATGTAAGGGAAAGAACACAAAAGAGAAACCCAAATGGTGCAGTACAAAATTGCCTTCTTTATTGGCCCAAATAGATTGCCACTTACAAGAATAAAAAGATAGTGAAAACGAACCATGTGAAGCCCTGCAGTGCTCTCACCACCGCCGAGTGACACAAAATGGCGCCAATCAGGGGCGTATTTACCACAAGGCAAACAAGGCATTTGCCTAGGGCAGCATTGTTCAGGGGGGGCAGAAGAAGGGACGGAAGAAGGGACACATGCAGCATGGGGACCAGGTGGGATCTGGTAGAGGTTGCGGGCTTCTTGATTGTGTATGGAGAGCCCGACTCTCCTTCCCAGGGATGTCCGGAGATGTGAAGAGGAGTGTCTTTCTCTCTCGCTGGGAGGGGGGGGTGTTAGTGGAAAGCTCTCTCAGGTGGGCGGTGGGCAGGGGTGTTGTTGGTCAATGTCAGGCTTTTTCTGTGGGGGGGCGCCCAATTTTTGTGTTGCCTAGGGCAGCATGAAACCTAAATACACCACTGGCGCCAATCATGTCACTTCCGGTTCCGCTTCCTCCTCTGCAATCACCTCCCAAATGGTCATGTAAGGGAAAGAACACAAAAGAGAAACTCAAATGGTGCAGTACAAAATTGCCTTCTTTATTGGCCCAAATAGATAGCCACTTACAAGAATAAAAAGAATCACAAGCTCAAAAATGCTGCAGATAGTGAAACCAAACCATGTGAAGCCCTGCAGTGCTCTCACCACCACTGAGTGACACAAAATGGCACCAATCACATCACTTCCAGTTCTGCTTTATTCACTTCCAGTTGCCGCACAGTCCGGCCCACATATACATAAGTATTCACAGCCTTTGCTCAAAACTTTGTTGAAGCACCTTTAGCACCAATTACAGCCTCAAGTCATTTTGAGTATGATGCTACAAGCTTGGAACAACTATTTTTTGGCAATTTCTCCCATTCTTTACAGTACCTCTCAAGCTCCATCAGGTTGGATGGGGAGCATCGGTGCACAGCCATTTTCAGATCTCTCCAGAGATGTTCAATCGGGTTCAAATCTGGGCTCTGGCTGGGCCACTCCAGGACATTCACAGAGTTGGCCCATAGCCACTCCTTTGATATTTGGACTGTGTGCTTAGGGTCATTGTCCTGTTGAAAGATGAACCGTCATCCCAGTCTAAGGTCCAGAGTGCTCTGGAACTGGTTTTCATCAAAGATGTCTCTACATTGCTGCATTCTACTTTCTTTCAATCCTGACTCGTCTCCCAGTTCCTGCCACTGAAAAACATCCCCAAAGTATGATGGCTTCCATCTGGCCACTCTACCATACAGGCCGGATAGGTGGTGTGCTGCAGAGATGGTTGTTCTTCTGGAAGCTTCTCCTCTCTCCACATAGAAACACTGGAGCTCTTTCAGAGTGACCATCGGGTGCTTGGTTATCTCCCTGGCTAAGGTCCTTCTCCCTCGATTGCTCATTTTGGCCAGGCAGCCTGCTATAGGAAGATTCCTGGTGGTTCCAAACTTCTTTCATTTATGGATGATGGAGGCCACTGTGCTCATTGGGACCTTCAATGCTGCAGAAATTTTTCTGTACCCTTCCCCAGATCTGTGCCTTGATACAATCCTGTCTCGGAGGTCTACGGACAATTCCTTGAACTTCATGGCTTGGTTTGTGCTCTGACATGCACTGTTAACTGTGGGACTTTATATAGACAGGTTTATGCCTTTCCTAATCATGTCCAATCAAATGAATTTCCCACAGGTGGACTCCAATCAAGTTGTGGAAACATCTCAAGGATGATCAGTGGGAACAGGGTGCACCAAAGCTCAATTTTGAGTGTCATGGCAAAAGCTGTGAATACTTATGTACATGAGGTTTTTGTTTTTTTTTAATAAGTTGCAAAGGTTTCAAAACGAACTTCTTTCATGTCATTATGGGGTATTGTTTGTAGAATGTTGAGGAAAAAAATGAATTTAATCCATTTTAGAATAAGGCTGTAACATAACAAAATGTGGCAAAAGTTAAGCGCTGTGAATACTTTATATCAGGGCTTAAATTTTCGAGTCTAGACCTACTAGCCAGGCACAAACCTTAATCTCCACCTGTTGCCCCACCCAACCTTGCCCAAGTCCGCCTCCAACCCCACCCCCTGCCCCCCCCCCGCCCCACCCCAGCCCTGCCCCCAACCACGCCCCCTCAAAGCTATGAAATTAAATTTTTCTTTAGAATAAAGAGTCCAAAATATAAAACTGTATACAGTAATGTATATCCCAGCTCCCCTGTACTCCATTGTAGTGATATGACATGTATACAGTACTTACTCCTTGAGACCCCCGCGGTTGAGAGGAGAGAGGGTGTCTCCTCTCAGCGGAGGAAAGTGGACCTCTCCTGCACCTGTCCCCTCAGCAGCGGTGCCGAAGAAGCCGGAAACCGGAACTTGGCTTCACAATGAGGCTTGGAGCGCAGCCGCTCCATCATCTGTGCTAACCGCTAGATAATTTCTCCTCGCATTTGGCGAACGGGCGAGCGGCTTTTTCAAGCCCAGCTTTATATATATACATATATATAGATTCGGGAGAATAAAAAAATTAAATTTAAAGACTAGTAGGTCCTTGTCAATTACAGCCTCAGGATCTACAGCACTATAAACAACTAAAAACACTGTGAGGATAAAAATACACACTTCTCAGCACTGTGAAGAACTCCCACCCTAGGCTATCAGATAGGTACACTGTGGGCTCAAAAATGGGTACTAGCATAGGAAGTAAATAGGTTATAACCCCCTGTGAACTGAACTAGGGATATTGAAAAGCAGAAACACAAAAGGAAAGGTACCCTCTTATAACACCTCCTATTGCTGAAGAGTAATGTAGTCTGGTATCAGCATGGTATAGAGCCAAGCACTCGCTGCTCCCAACCTGAACATATATAGTGCACCATGTTAGGAGAAGAAAAAAATGACCAGGTACCATTTGAAAACATGGTGTTGCTATAGATAATGAAGTACTGATTTTAGTCTTTGATCTGTCCCATTTATCATGATGTCAAAATTATGTCTCTGGTAGAAAGTGTGACAAATGTATCTGTTAATAAAGGGAAAGCTTTTTCTTTTTCTTCAATGATGCACATTTAGCTCATGCTACAAAAAAGCAAAGACAGCAAAAAGTTCATAAGAGCTATAAAATACTAAAAGTCATAGAAAAGTCTTAAACTTTATTTTTTTAATTACAAACAGGATTTTACTTACCTACATTGCACAGAGCAGCCCCAAAATTCCTCTTCTTGAGTCCCCTGCTGGCGCTCCTTTCTCCTCCTCTTCTTGGTTGGCCACCAGATGAATTTGCTTCCTTTTGTAGCACACCTTCACACTTGATCCCGAGCTGCACTGACTGTGTCCTGTGACACAGATAGCCCACCCCTTACCCCCCCAGCCCCCGCTCCGAGGCTCCTCCAATGGCTCCCTCTGCTCTCAGCAAAACCTGTGAGAGGGGGGAGACCTGCTACAGATGGGCACAGTGCTGGATTAAATGAGGGCTCAGGTAAGTATTGGGGGGTGGGGAGGGTGAGGAGTAATACTTTTACCTAAACATTTTTTACCTTAATGCAAGGAATGCATTAAAGTGTTCCTAAACCCACAACAGTAAAATCAGTCTGTGTATGCAGTAAAGCATGCTTGTTATACTCACTGTGGAGCCTAAGTGGTTAACCCTCTGCATTGTGTAGGAGTGCTGTTTGATCTGACTTCTGTGATCCTCCCCTTCTTCCAGTGCCCCCCTCTTATGACCTGATATGACATATCATGTGGAGTCACTCTACAAATGCTCAGTTTGGTGTTGTAATGCCTATGAAAAGTGTTGGCCTTGGACCATTTGTTTCTTGGGTAATTTTTACAATAAAGCATTGTTGCGCAAATGCCAGGGGCATGAGAAGTGACTGATGTCATTTCTTTAGCCAAAGGAACAAGGTCACAAGATATTCTGCTGAGAGCAAGATAAAAACTTGTTTATGGAATGAACCATGTTTATGACATCTAGTAACCTCACATTAGGAGATAAAAACCTGTTTAAGGACATCTAAGTTAGAAATCCTTAAGTCTGGGGGAGATGAAAAAGAGGTTTTCGGGTAGATAAGAAGCAAAAGTGTGACTTTTCAGATAACGAATATGGTGGTTGAACATGACTGTTATCCTCCCGAAACCCTTCTGCTAGCCCAGGGGTGGGCAAACTTTTTGACTTGAGGGCCGCAATGGGTTCATATATTGGACCCGGGGGCCGGACCAAGAGTAGATGAATGATGTGTATGTGTCATCCATAGTAAGTATAGTAATATTCCCCCATAGTAAGCATAGTAATTAATCCCCCATATAGTAATTCATCCCCCATAGTAATTCATCCCCATATAGTAATTCATCCCCCATATAGTAATTCATCCCCCATAGTAATTCATCCCCCATATAGTAATTCATCTCCCATAGTAATTCATCCCCCATAGTAATTCATCCCCCATATAGTAATTCATCCCCCATAGTAATTCATCCCCCCTGTAGTAATTCATCCCCCCTGTAGTAATTCATCCCCCATAGTAATTCATCCCCCATATAGTAATTCATCCCCCATAGTAATTCATCCCCCATAATAATTCATCCCCCATATAGTAATTCATCCCCCATAGTAATTCATCCCCCATAGTAATTAATCCCCCATATAGTAATTCATCCCCCATAGTAATTCATCCCCCATATAGTAATTCATCCCCCATATAGTAATTCATCCCCCCTATAGTAATTCATCCCCCCTATAGTAATTCATTCCCCATATTAATTCATCCCCCATATTAATTCATCCCCCATATTAATTCATCCCTCATATAGTATTTCATCCCCCACAGTACTATTCCCCCCCAAGTAGTAAGCCAAGTCCCCCCTGTGTCAATTCACTTACCTTTGCTCCGCGCGTTCCTCTCGCCGTGTTCCCGCGCCGTTCCGGTCTTCAGGGCGGACTGTGAGAGGAGCCTAGCTCCCCTCCCCTCACGTTCGTCACGCTGCCCTGCCTACACACATCCTGACAGCCACATCCGCGGGCCGGATTAAAAGGTCCGCCGGGCCGTATACGGCCCGTGGGCCGTAGTTTGCCCATTGCTGTGCTAGCCCCTCCTGTGGTGGTGGCGCTGCCCACTATTGGACCTCTTCCAGAAAAGGGGTTTATAAGGCGGAGGTCCGGGCAAGACCAGTGGAAGCTCCCCTAGTGGCCAGAGGACGCTCTGATGCTGGGATTTTTACCAAGGCTATATGGGCTCATTGACTGGTCGCGGCTATGGCTTCTCCGTGACCCCCTGGGTAGTTTGGTTCCGATAGGATTTGTTTATCCCAGCTTCCACATAGCTTCGGTAATGTATTAATTCTATGCTGTGACGCTGTCAAATGATGTGTCTATTTCATGCTGTAATGCTCACATTATTATTGGTGTGTATTATGCAGATTGTGATGACTATAAGATATATCCTCCTGTGTGTCGTGTGATCATAAAAGTGGAGGTTTTGCCAGTGCAAGAGTATTGCAGTTGGATTCTGTTATTTCTTGGAGTGCCGAGTGAATGCTATGATGTGCTAGGACAGGTATTGTAACGGACATGTAAAAGTTATTGTAACGGACATGTAAGATTTGAGTGTAAATATGAAATCCTAGCCATAACAGGTGAATAGATTAGATTATGTCAGGCCCTTTCATTGCAGAGGTGTGTGCAGGAACAGTCTGGTCATTAAGGATGTACATTGAGCCCCTGGGCAGTAGGGAAATGAATAGAAGGTACAAACAATTGATCTGGGATCAGATGTGTATGTATACACAATTCCTCAATAGGCCTTACAGACCCAATCATCATTTAGCATTAATTAGTCTAAAGCCAGGTTCCTGGAGGTGACAACTTTTGTGTGTCAATCAGGTTATCACCTTCTGGGAAAGCCAGTGACAGCAGACAGACTGTCTGCCTTATGTGGAAAGTTCTATAAGTAATATTCATCAAAGGAGTATGTTTAATCTCTTATAAAAGCCAAAATATTAGTTGCAGAGATATGAACAAGCTTCCTTTGTGCAGACCATTCTGTATGCTACATTTACATATAAGAATCATATTTGTGGCTTGGGGAGGAAGCCAGGGAAATGCATGGAATGATTAGATGACGCGGGGGTGCGACAGTCGGATGGTGTTTGGTACTGTTGCGATCGGGCTGATGCGCTGGTGTCAGAAATCCAATCCCCGACTTGGTGTTCAGGCCAGTCTCGGCCCAATTGAACTTGGGCAGGTCCATACACAGTACCTCTTGTGGGCAGGTCAGGACCACCTCCCCCAGAGTCAATTGGCCGAAGACTAATGTCCCACCCATGTCCAAATCGCCATAAATTGAACGCACGGACATTTGGACAGGGTGATCCGTACGGAGCTGGTTCGATTGACCAATGGATTGCTAAGTTTCTGGCTTGCTCCAGCCGCAGGGTAAAGTGTTATTCTGTCTTTTTATTCCCTTTTATTTTATAGTAATTAGTCATTTGTGTGTCTTCTTATATCTTTTGTATTTGCTGTAACCTTTTATCTTTTGTACATATTTTATGCACTGCCCACTTTGGGAAATTAAATCTTAAAATTAATTAGTGAACTTCTGTGTACTTAAGCACGTGCTCATATCTTCGGAGAGACTAGATCGGAGAGATTAGATTGGGTTATATTGTATTGTATTTTAGTGCCTTTAAAACGCTCGGTTAAGCTCATTGCCAATCTGTATGCAACTGCACTGCGACTGGGCAGATTGCACACAGATTGCAAAGGTAACAGATCTGCCAGACGGAGATCTGTGTGTGTGGGGTGTCTCAACAGACCATTCTGCGGATAAACTGTTGGGTGGTGGCAGGCTACCTTTGTGGTGCGTCTGGTGTGGGGGTGTGTGGACAGTGGAAGGGTTATCAACACCGGGGTTTCAAGCTAGGATAGCTGAAGGGACCTTTAGAAGGGTGTGTGATTACTAAGCTGGTCCTCAACTCTAATCAGGGCACCAGGTTGTATGTAAGATCGTATCTGCCAGTGTGTGGTCGACCAGCTGGATTGGAGTGGAGTCTCCATCCGGTGGTGGCCAGAGGTAGTGCGGGCTGTGAAAAGGTATCATGGCTGGTCTTATATACGGTTTGAGATATTTAAGTGTAAATCCCTTTATTCCCCCTCTTTACCACCCTGTCGCGGCCACGCACGCGTGCATCACGGTTAGCTAGTCGCTGTGGGCGTGGCATGTGGTGGACACGTGACAGGGTGATCGTTTTAACGAATCCTTGACAGGTATTTATTGGGTAGTTGGTCTTTCACAATGCATAGAACATGTAATGGTTTAAATGCTGATTAAAAGTACCTGCGCGACTGCATGTTGATTGTGTGCATGTATATGACTTGTTTTTAGTAATTCCACCCAGCATTACTATTACAGGTGTGTATTGCTAGAGAGGTTTTTTTTTTTCTTGGGAGAGTGCATGTGATCAGCACAGGGCCAATCAGCACTGTCCAGAGGTCAGGGGTTCTGAATCATCTTAGAGCAAAATGAAAACTCCTCCTACAAGCTTTAACCAGTGCTCTGCTGGAGACTGATAGAAGTCACAAGACTGCTCTAACTGAGAGAAAAGGTATTTAGCAGTATATATTTACTAATATAATTGAATTTCCATGTTCTGTGTGGGAGACCAGATAGAGTGAATGCAGGGTCCTGGGTTTAGTAATTATTTAGGGTAAAAAAGTGTTTAGGCAACTTCTTTGTAAAACTAATATATACATTGTAATTAGCTGCTCCTGACAGCTGCAGTTAACACAATTTATCAGTTTACATTTTAACACAAACTGATGCTAAAAAACCTGTTTCTTCCAGTTAGTACTGAAAGAGGCTGTAATAGCAGCTCTCCTACAACAACTGGGACCTCCTGCCAAACAGACTGAAGGACCTGACAGTTAGTGTGGGACTGTGCTCACACTCACCTCCTCTCCTCTTTTCATACACCTTCTGAAAAGCAATCCCACACAGATCACTTTTCAGAGGGCAAAGCTAGTTCAAATATCAGTGTCATTCAACCCACTGTCCAGGACCCATCCCAATCTGTGACTGGACGATGACAGGAGAAGCAGCACAGTGATAAGCTCACCTCTCTCATTCTGATTTCTGATCCCTTTAGCACACGTCTTTTCAGCACATGAAAAGATTGGCTCCTTGTGCTGTTTCTTCCTATCACACTCCATACCAAAGTCAAATTCAGATATTTTCACTGCTTGTATTTCAATTACCGATGTACAAAGGGTGTTGAACTCAAATCGGGACTTTTTGCATTTATATAATGAAAGAACAATCTTCAAGGAGTAGAAAGTGCATTTACATTTCTACATACTTCCCTGCTACATTTATACACTTATCCCGGCGTTTAACTAATGCCTGGAAAGCTCTGGCATAGAAAGATTAGTCAGTACGCCTGAACCATCCTAGGACAGCCTGCTTCACTTCACTTCGTCATCATTATGTTCCCTATTCCCACAGAAAGACTCGTCTTGTGCAATTTTATGACAGCTTATGCGTTGGTTATCCAGGATCTATGCACTGAATGTTCACAGGAACGACTGCTGTGGGCTGGGAACCACCATGACCAGGATCGTCACTGACAGACGTACAGCCATCTTTGAAACATTACTCATCACTGTACTGTGATTGAAGTCTTCTGTAGATATCTGTGGGTTTTACGCCTTTGTTCACAAGATACTTTATCACCACATGCTGTTCCATGCACGCACTAACTTTGTTGTCTGCCATCTTGATTAACTGTCTCTGGACTGGCCCATGACTGTGCGCCGCCTATCAGTAATAGGACACATTTGCCACCGTAGTACCGCCATGCTAGCATTCTTTTTCATACCTAGAAAATGAAAAGTACCTAGAAAATGAAAAGGTTTGACTTGACCACCCCTTGTATTAAAGCGGTATCAAAACCAGAACTATATTATATTGCAGCTTACTAATCATTAAATGGAGTGGCTGCATATGTTTTCTTTTTTGTGAACTTTTTTCGCTCTGTTTTCACCTGGTGATCTGGCCAAAAACACACCTCCTGAATTAAAGAGCCCCCACTCTAGATGAAGTAAAACGGGGAGCTTTTGAACAGCAGCATTGTCAGTCTGGGGGGGAAGGGAGTGTTAGATGTACTAGAAGATTTAGATACACTAACAAATTGAAGCCAAACTCCAGCTCACACTTTATACGAAGTGGCAGCAGTTTTTATCCTTTTTGGGATAAAGATTTTACATAAATAAATAAAAATTGAGAATTGTAAGCACCCCTGTCAGCTGTAAATGGTTTGTCTCAACCCTCTAACCTCTACATCTACAGAACAGCTTGTTCTGTTGAAACACAGCAAACGTACTGGCCAGATCACCAGGTAAATATAAAAGGAAGAATGCTTAAAAAAGTATACTGTAAGAATCGTGTTTCTGTCTATATTTTCTAATATATACATACATTAAAGCAACTATTGATTCCATGTGCTGGCCGTTCTTCCTCCTACGTAGCGAAGCACTATATTTTTTCAATACTGATTGCTTCTCACAGTGCAAGTCTTTCCGTCAAGTCTGCCTAACTGATCAAAAACAATGCATTCCATATACAATTTTCTGTGAGCTACAAAAAGCTATTAAAGGAATAGGCAATGTGTCTGTACATTGAAAGTGATACTAAACCCACAACAGTAAAATCAGTCTGTATATGCAATAAAGCATGCTTGTTATACTCACTGTGGAACCTAAGGGGTTATTCCTCTGCATTGTGTAAAAAGGATGTTTGATCCTGTCTTCTCTGATCTTCACCTTCTTCCACTCTCCCTAATCCATCTGCTGAAAGTGCAGAGCCCTAGGAGGCACTCTGCACATGTTCAGTTTGGTGTATATTGCAAGATTTTTTTTGGGAGGGTGCATGTGATCAGCACAGGGCCAATTAGCACTGTCCACACAGAGGGTCAGGGGTTGTGCAGAATCATAGGACAGTCAAAGGAGAATGAAAACTCCAGCTTCAAGCTTTAACCAGTGCTCAGCCAGACACTGCTAGAAGTCACAAGACTGCTACTGTATATACTGCTGATAACAAAAAATGTATTTAGCAGTTTATATTTAGTAAATTAATTCCATGTCCTGTGTACTGTGGGAGACTGGATATAGTGAGTGCAGGGTCCTGGGTTTACACTAAACATGTAATATTTACTCACACACACTCACACAAAAAATTGAGAAATCTATTTTTGTGGCATTACGAAAATGGTGTTACACTCTGCATGCCACCTGCTGCAGCATTGTTTGTTCTACCCCCTATGTGGCTGGGGGCAGTTTGCAAATAGGAGAGCTTGTCCTACAGAAAGAGGCAGACTTGACAACAATTTAAATATTTTAAGTTTCACATTATTACAACAATTCAAGCATGCGTCAGACATACACTTTTGAAAGTACTGCACGTCTCTGGGAAATACAAGAAGTGGAATTTTTAACCAGGAAGCAGATAATAACTTTTTTTCATCACTCATGTTGTAAGGCAACATATTTGTACTTTATTTTCATGGTATTTTTCTGGTAATATCAAGCAATGCCTTGTATGAGTTTACTCTGGATGCTAAGATAACCCAGTAGGTTAAAGCACACCTGTAGTACTGGAGAAACTGATATGCTGCCATTACAGAGGTAAGGAATGTAGTTGATGGCCTTTTCTTTTTTTCTGTTACAAAGATTTTAGGGTATTTTGAAAAGAAAATCCTATAATGTCCCTCCTTCCATAGCAGTTAAACCCCATCTAGGTGTACTATCTAAGCCCCATACACACATACTAGCTAAGCCCCATCTATTCATTTTGCATATGGTCAGCTGAACTTATCACAACAGTAACTCTCCCATAATCTATCCTTGCTACATTTCCATGGTAAGAATCAGACATTATGTAGGTACTTTGTTTTTTAATTAATTATATTCAATTGTCTTTTTCTGTTCCAAAGTAACCCAGTATAAGGCAGACCATGCTCTGCCAAATGAGCAATAAATCAATAATAATAATAATAATAAATATCAGGGAATATGCAGTTCAGTTTTGGGCACCAATTCGCAAAAACAACATTGGGGAACTGGAGAAAGTGCAGAGAAGGGCAACCAAACTGATAAGATTCATGTAGGAGTTCAGCTATGAGGAAAGATTAGAGGAACGGAATTTATCCTCTCTTGAGAAGAGGAGATTAAGGGGGAATATTATCAACATGTATAAATAAATCAGTGGTTCATATACTGAACTCAGTGTAGAGTTATCACCTTGAGGTCATCACAGAGGACAAGGGGGCACTCTTTACGTCTGGAGGAAAAGAAATTTAATCTCCAAACACGGAAAGGTTTCTTCACAGTGAGAGCTGCAAAGATGTGGAATAGATTCCCTCAAGAGTTGGTTCTGGCCAACTCAGTGGATTGCTTTAAAAAAGGCCTGAATTCTTTCTTAGTTACCGTATTTGCCGGCGTATAAGATGACTGGGCGTATAAGACGACCCCCTACTTTTCCTGTTAAAATATAGGGGTTTGAGCTATACTCGCCGTATAAGACTACCCCTCTTCCAACACACACCAAATAAAAATGAAAAAACATCAGATTTGATTTCAATATGGTATGCTATTTCAGTATGGTATTCCAATGATGGGGTGCTATTCCTCCCACTGACACCAATGATGGGGCACGATTCCTCGCTCTGACACCAATGATGGGGCACTATTTCTCCCACTGATACCAATGATGAGGCACTACTCCTCCCACTGACACCAATGATGGGGCACTATTTCATCCACTGACACCAATGATGGAGCACTATTCCTCCCACTGATACCAATGATGGGACACTATTCCTCCCACTGACACCAATGATGGTGCCCCATCATTAGTGTCAGTGTGTGAGGAATAGTGTCCCATCATTAGTGTCAGTGGGAGGAATAGTGCCCCATCATTAGTCAGTGGGAGGAATAGCGCCCCATCATTGGTGTCAGTGGGAGGAATAGCGCCCCATCATTGGTATCAGTGGCAGGAATTGCACCCCATCATTGGTGTCAGTGGGAGGAATAGCACCCCATCATTGGTATCAGTGGTGGGAAAAGTGCCCCATCATTGGTATCAGTGGGAAGAATAGTGCCCCATCATTGGTGTCAGTGGGGGGGGGGGGAATAGTGCCCCATCATTGGTGTCAGTGGGGAGGAGGAATAGTGCCTCATCGCTGGTGTCAGTGGGGGGAGGAATAGTGCCTCATCATTGGTGTCATTGGGGAGGAGGAATAGTGCCCCATCGTTGGTGTCAGTGGGGGAGGAATAGTGCCCCATCGTTGGTGTCGGTGGGGGAGGAACAGTGCCTCATCGTTGGTGTCAGTGGGGGAGGAACAGTGCCCCATCGTTAGTGTCAGTGGGGGAGAGGAATAGTGCCAAGAGTGTCACAGCATGGTGCTGCTGCACACTTACTGGCCGCTCCCTCACTCGATTTTCGCGGGGCCGCTCGGCTCCGCCTCC